TCTCTCTAAATAAATAAATAAAAAGGATAAATAAATGAAAGGGGCCAGCAGGTGGTGTGGTGGTTAAGGGCACTGGACTTCCACATGGTCAACTGGTTCGAATCCTGGACCTTCTCTCACTCTTGCTCTGTCCTTCTCTGGTCAAAAGTGTAAAAACAAACAAGTAAAGTTAGATAAAATAATTCTTAAAAAAACTTAATGAATAATTATTTTTTATTGATTTTTTAAGGTGCAGATTAAGTCCTCTGCCTGCGTGTGAACTGTTCTCAGTGACACTGCTTTTTTTGAGAGAGGTTTTTGCTATAGGGCACGTGCACTCACCAGAGAGGCAGAGAGACAGACAGTAAGAACTCACTCTTGGGGGAAGGCCATGCCACAATCCCTTCTCACTCATTCTCTTCTTGGGATCTTGGGCATGCACACACACGTGCCCCATGTGAGATTTGTTTTTGTTGTTGGTTTTTTTTTGTTTTTTTTTTTTTGGAGAGATTTTCACTGTAGGGCGCGTGCGCTCGCCAGACAGACAGAGAGAGACATAGAGACAGAAAGCGAGAAATCACCCCCCAGGGGGGATGGTCACGCCGCAATCCCTTCTCCTCCATTCTCCTCTCGGGATCTTGGGCACGCACGCACACGCGCCCGGCGTGAGTTTTAAGCCACCGGGTCCAGGACACGAACCGCGGTCGACTACGTGGGAATCCAGCGACATAGCCATTACGCTAACTGCTGGTTCCCTTGTTGTTGGTTTTTGGTTTTTTTTTTTGAGAGGTTTTTTGCTATAAGGGCGCGTACACTCACCAGAAAGAGAGAGAGACAGAAAGCAAGAAATCACCCCCAGGGGGGATGGCCACACTGCAATCCCTTCTCCTCTCAGGATCTTGGGTACGCAAGCACACGTGCCTGGCATGAGTTTAAGCCACCAGGTCCGGGACTCAAACCGCGGTCAACTACATGGGAGTCCAGCGACATAACCATTATGTCATCTGCTGGTCTCAACACTTCTTTTTTTTAAAGACTTAATTTTATTTATTATTATTATTTAATTTGTTATAGGGCACATGTACTTGCCAAAGAGAGACAGAGAAAATGAGAAAGCAAGCCACCAGGTCCAGGACTCCAGCTGTGGTCAGCCGTGCTAATGCAGGATATGTTCAGCTCTCCAGACTTGCCCAGCCGTCCTCCTCGCTCCCGCAGATCACGCGCTCCAGGGAGCTAGCTGCCATGTTGGGAGGGTGCACAGGCAGCCCCGCAGCGTCCCCATGGGAGGAGCCAAGGCCTCCTGGCCCAGCCACTGAGGGAGCTCTGGGAGGGAGTCTGCCAGCCTGTCCACCTTCAGACGCTGAGTCAGAACCACCTGCTCCTAAGCCCCTGACTGAAACTTGGAGATAGATATTGAGATAGATAGATAGATTTATATATAGGTGTATATATACACACATTTAGAATTATTTATTTACTTATTTTTTGATATGAGTTTTGCCAGTGAAAGAGAGAGAAGGTGAGAAAGCAAGTTGCCAGGTCTGGGACTCAAACCATGGTCGGCCATGTGGGAATTCAGTACCTTAACCACCACAATACCTGCTTCCCTTCCCCTTTTTTTAAAGAGGGATTTTTGTAGGGCACGTGTGCTTGCTGGAGAGACAGAGAGACAGAGAGGGAGAGCTCACCCCCCAGGGGGATGGCCGCACTGCAGTCCCTTCTCTATTCTCCTCTTGGGTTTTTGTACACACGCACGACACATGCCCAGAGTGAGCGTCAAGCCTTCAGGGACCCAGACCACAGTCGGCCACATGAGAATCCACCCAGTGGCCCCGATACCTGTTGTTTTAAGCTGCTGCACAGGGTGACTTGTCACACGGCAGTAGGTGACTACCTCGGCTCTGATTGGCTTCCCTGAGAGATGCCTGGCAGGGTCCCACCCTAACGAGATGTCACAGGCTCCGAGGGGTCTGTGTGGCTGTCATAAACACCACCTGTTCCCTCTGTCTCAGCTCCTGCCAGGACTGAGAAGCCCTGACATGTCATTAGCCTGGCCTCTGGCATGCCAGGGCCTGTGTGCACTTTTTTTTTTTAAGAATTATTTTTACTTTATTTATTTAAATTTGATCAGAGAGGGACAGAGTGAGACAGAGAGAAGCAACGTGGGAAAGCGAGCCGCCAGTCCCAGGACTCAGACCACAGCCAGCCATGAGTCTAGTGGCCGTAACCAGTATGCCACCTGCCGGCTTCCCTCTCGTCCGCTTCTGTGTGGTTACCCAAGATGCTGGAGAACTTACGCCTACCTTTTTTTTGGGGGGGAGAGGTTTTTGCTATAGGGCGTGTGTGCTCGCCAAACAGAGAGAGACAGAGACACAGAAAGCGAGAAATCACC